CTTGCTCGCATGGCTGCCCACACTGTCACTCTGCCAATTCAGTCAAGTACGACTCGTGTGAAAGGTTTGTAGGCCCAAAGTGGGCACTTTGCGTTCAGAAAAGCATTCCGTAAAGAACCTAGCCAGGTTTTTGGTGATGACTCCTGGATGGCTACCTAGCTTTCTATTCCATGTTGTCAAAGCAGGGTGCCGTTCAATTCTTCATCAACCTTGGCAACCTTGCATGTTGAGTTACAAAAGGGTATATTCAAGAAGATGGGGTTTAGGTTTCTTGGATGTAATAACTGCCATTGCTACTCCTATGACTAATTGTTACAACTGCAAGGCAATTTTTTCGTCCCTCTTCAAGGCACAGTTCACGATAATTTTAGATAATAAAGATTATGACGAAAAATGGAAGATAAGATGGAAAACAGCGAGATGAAGGCGAAGAAACTGTGTGGATCGGTGTTTCCAAAGTGAAAAAAGGCTTAGAAAAATCGGGCTGGACGAGAGTGAGACCAGAAAAATGAAGAAGAATGTTGACCGTTTAGACGAGTTATACAATGTGTGTCAGTGCATAAGTGTGGGTCCTGGTGCGTATAACTGACTACGGTAGGCAAAAATTCATTCGCTCTGAGCAAAGTTAACGAAAATACCCCTAGTAACAGCAAAAATAGCCCACCTTCTCCAGCCTCTTGGGGTAAAAAAATCAATTAGGGATCGCAACAGCAAAAAGAATAACAGAGAACCAAAGATTAGGAGAAAATGACCGACTCATCACTCGATCAGCTGATTTGGTGTGGGTCCTAGAGCGAGAGTTTGCAATCTGTATCGCCTCGACACTCGTCTGACGTGACATGGATCGAGGGGCGGGGAAGCCCCGGGAGCCAGCAACAGGGAATTATCGTGAACTGTGCCTTCAAGTGCTTCTGCCGCCTCAAGCACCTCTTTTGTTGCCAGCTCATCCTTTGCCGCTTCCTGATTTCTAAGGATGACTGTGATCCTACCTACGAGTACCCTAGCTACTGTAAGCGTGAGCGCATCTCACAGCTTTGGCTTCCTCGCTTACTGGTGGAAGAAAGGATGAGTTGAGTTAAGTTTCAGTAGGGATCTTATCATGGTGACGACTCACGAGGATGGCCACTTCGTGTTAGTCCCTTTTTAAAATGTTGAATCCGAAGTCGATAGCCTCGCCAGATGGATCTACAGTATTCTACAAGGACTACAGTATTTTTTCTTTGATGGCAGCCGGCTCTTTCTCCAGCTGTATATCGAAGCGTCACTCCGCCGTCAGATGCCTTCGCCAGACGGTGCCTTTCTTCTAGTGTTTCTTCAAACGTCGTCTTTCTTCTGGAGTCTGGAAAAGCGTTCCTTTCTTCAGATGTGCAGCTTTCTTCTGACGCTTCAGCCAGATGCGCTCCTTTCTTCAAGCGCTTCGTTCAAATGTCGTCTTTCTTCTAGAGTTCTATAAAGACGCCTTCCTTTTTTTGAATCCCATATTACTGTAATCCTTGTCCGATGTCCTCAGTGATCTTCTGTAAAGGTGGCCTACAGAGCTAGGGCTAAATCGCTCATGCTGTAGTTCCGCGGAGACCGGCTGGTCAAAAGTCTAGACTTGCTTAAAGGTACCAGTGGAGGTGTGGAAGCCGAGGGAGGCTCAGTGCCCATTTCAGGGAAATGGAGGTAATGGAAGTGTTGGAGCCAAGGAAAGCTCAGAGCCTATTTCAGGGAAATGGAGGTAGAGAAAGTCGTCGTGGCTGCGCAGCAAAAGTCGACATGAGGATTAGATAGCCGACAGGGTCGGCGGTGGTGACGAGGTGATAACCGACAGGGTCGGCAGTTGTAGTGAGGAGCGTGACAAGTTGTGAAGGTGAGGTTCATTTTGTGCAGTTGTGAAGTCGTTATCGGTTGTGTTCTGGTACCGCGGAAACGAGGCAATGGATACTCAGAGCAATAGGTGAGTATAGTATTACGGCCGGTTGGCCCATTACAAAGACCTTATTACACCTCGATGACTTTGCTCATCTTGAAGAAGTACGTCTGACGCAGCAGCTTCTGGCAACCTCTACCCCACGGGGATTGACCTGAACGTGATTTTAAAGTCGCTCAGCGATCAACGTGAGACTCAGCTCGATCCAGCTGAGCGATAATTCTGTAGAGGATTCAAGGAAAAGCGAAATCTCCTTGAACAGTACATGGAGGACCCCTCTAAGTTCCTCTACATGTCCGAGGAAGACCAACACGAATATGAGATAGCGGAGCGCTCGGTCTCCCAATCTATAGAAAAGATGGTTAAGCTTATGTTCCGTGTCCGACGCCCCGCCATCCTTTGTCTCACGACAGCCTCGCTGTTGAATACGACGGACCCGTCAAAACGGTCTCTTCCGTAGACACTCGAGCACGTTTGGCACAATAATAGGAGACGAAGCGTCTCAGATACCCGAGCCCGCCTTGGCCGCCATAGCTAGCCGCATCCCGGAGGCAAAACAGCGCTACATAGGGGATATCCATCAAGTTGAACCCCATGCTCGATGTCAGCGAACTTCAAACCCGGCTATTTTTGGCGCTCGCAGTGTGATGAATGTCCTAGTGGGAGCAGCAGCCGTCCCGGTATCCCCGCTGGTTACAACCTTCAGGGCGCATCCCGCTCTCAATGCGCTCCCCAACCTTGTAGCCTACGACGGCACACTCCTCAACGGTACAGGTCCGGAGTCGCGACAGCTCTTGCTGTCGGCTATGCAATTCCCCACCCCGGAAGTCCCCTTTATGTTTCTTAATGTTGCAGGACAATCCACGAAGGCGGCCAGTAAGTCGCATTTCAACACGGACGAGGCTAACGCCTGCGTTCGATTAATCGAATTGTTGCTAGGGAAAGGCATTCAGCCAAATCAGATCTGCGTGATATCTTTCTACAAGGAGCAATCACGCCATCTTCAATCACGCCACGATCGACTCGGCGTCGAGCTGACCACCGTGGATTCCGTCCAAGGACGTGAAAAGGAGGTAGTTATTCTTCTAACGACCAGAACCAACTTTTCTGCTAATTCAGCCGACTTCCTGGACGACTACAGACGCGTCAACGTAGCGACCACACAATGCCGTCACGGACAATTCATTCTGGGCAACGCCGAATCTTTGACGACAGTACCGTTCTGGCGGCGGATCCTCGACTGGGCAGCGTCGCTCAATGCCATCGTTCCAGCATCAACCAGCGACTGGTATTTGTAGCGGGTAAAGTCCCGTCACAGTAAGTCCGCTCTTCAATCTTTCAAGTCCGGGACGGACTTGGTGTAAAGGGGGGAGGTGTAAGCGTGAGCGCATCTCACAGCTTTGGCTTACTGTACGAGCTCTACAAAACCCCTGTATGACTCAGTATTTCAGGGCGGAGTCTGCAAGCCGAAGCAACGAGAGACGTCTGGCGACGACGACACCGAGCGCCATCGACTCCCCTACACCTTCTCATCCAATACCCATCATCATGCTCTTTCTCTAAGGGCGAAGCCCTCCATACGAAGAGCTGACTTATACCGTGTTATAGCGTAGTGGTTTTGTATAACAGTTTCTTGCCCATCCTCGTTTATGCGTTTATCGTGTCATGATGTAGTTACGAGATAACCGCGGGTCATATTACCTCTTTACTCTGTATCGATGTCTTAAAGATAAACTATATTAATATGACGTCTCGCGTAACACGATATCAGCCGCTCCACTGGGCGCGCTCGCTTACTCTACCCTTAACCTTCTGAAAGCCGTATATTCTTGTAGCCCTCTGAAATTCTGCGTAATATTGCTGTAGGGCTTGACCAGCTTTCTGCGATCTCGGCATGAGCCCGAAGCACTTCGCCATAAGCACCTTTCTCGGTGAAAACTGTTGCTCCTTGGCCCGTTTCAACTCCTACTGTTCCTGATTCCCTGTTCTAAAATAAGTTCTTTGACAATTCGTAATTCGAAGCTCTAGCCTCTTGGTGATGAATGAGGCGTTTATCGCTCTCATCCGACTCTCTCCTCAAGTTCAGAAATTTTCAAAGAGCCTATGGCCCGGGGCTACGGACTTGATACACATTGAAAGGCTCCTGTCATGCCTTCCGGATTTCTTGCACTCCTATAGCCGCGATGGAGCTCCGGAAATATCGCACTTGTTCTCGTCCATTCTTCGATCCTGCTGTTCGAGTTGACAGCTTCTTCTGGCGACATCCTGATCCTTACTTTCCTTATTTGGGTGAGTCAGGCTCATTGCTTACCTCCTTCGTGTTGTTTTCGTGTCCGAATCTCCGGTCACCCGGAGTGCTGAGATTTGGAAGTATGGATAGTTCTCTCTATTTAAAGGACCATTTATGCAACCCTCTAACATCCTTCGTGATACTCTTTACCTCATCCACTTGTAGTCATTGGCTTTGTGCATTCGTACTGCTCCATTGACGTAACAGCCCTTCCCTTTGCGCCCGTAACCATTAGTGTATGTGGTTGCCAAAGATCTGCACATAAATAAGGTCTTGCCGTAGAATTGTGCATGTCGTGTGTGAAGTTCTGCGTCTGTTGCATTGTCTTCACGACAATGTCACTGTGAGAACGGAAGGATTCCCATCCTGAGCCTCGTGCCTGCGACTTCTACGCGGTATCATAAGCGTACAAGAATACTCATAATATTTATTCTGCGAATTATGATTGTTAGTTCCGTCTCCACCGTTAAAAACTGACTATCATAAAGAGGAGAGTAGATTTAGCGCCCTATTCGCTTTTATAGGGCGTTTTTGAGTGATGCAATGGTGAGCAGGTTTTGTTGACATTCTTCGTTATCTTCCTGGTTTCTTATACTCTGGTTAAATTAGAATTGTGATGTTTACATTGTTTTATTGCCTCAATTGTTTACCGACCAAAACAAAGTGTCGTTCAAAGTCGTAGCTCCTGTTTCTGTTGAGGGTAGTAGATTATAATCGGCCTTCAGGTCAACATGTCAGATGTGGAGGAAACAATCAAACGAATTCAATCACAGAAAGGTGTCGTCGGTGTGATCGTTATGGATAGTGCTGGTGAGTCAGGCTTGATCTTGTTCGATGTTAGGGAGCATTCGTGTGAAATTCCCTTTCTTCGGCTATGTTTTATAGTTTATATATTATAGAATTTGAAAATTAAATTTATCTTGATCTTCTCAGAGTAAACTTGAGTCGCTGTGAAATTGGTGAGGATGCATCACTTGCAGAAACACACTACTCCCGAATATTTATATATCCTTTAACATCCTGGTCTTTTACATGGGAGTACTCATAATAGGTGCGTTTTTATGCAGATGTTTGCATCAGAGCGCACCTATTCCAGTGAAAACCCACCTACTATGAATATGCCTCTTATATTTCGGTTTTTGTAGATGCTCATCATACGCTTTCATACGGAAAGGTTTCTTTTTTGTTTTTGCACGTCCAAAGGTGTAGCTCTATATAGTTTCGTGATCATTCACAAGATTTCTCTTGAATCGCTTCGGTGCTCCATTCGTACCCAATGATTCACAAAATGAGTGATCATTTTTGAAAAAAAAGCTTGTTGAAAAGACTCCCACAATGCATAGTACTCGCGAGAGGCAGGAAAGGAAGTGACTGTGTGCCTCAAAGTTAGCTTACACACAGAATTGGTATTTGGAAAATTTGTACTTCTGATAATGTCTCATCTCATAATGTCTAATGTTTATTTGGTTGTGGAAATTGTATAAGTACGTTTAAATAGAATCTGCAGCTCTTTGCCTATGTACAGCTTCCATGAGCCAAATTAAAAGCGGCTGCGCGGTGTGCGACTGATTTCCCCTACCACAAAAGTGGTTCCTCTTTAATCCCCTTAAGTTGTGGCGATTGCCATCAACCTTTATATTTTTCATTTATACGGTTTCTTCTTTCAGTTGTTTCGCTCTCCTTTTTTTCGAGCTCGTTATCCATTGTAATGATGGAATTGTGTCTTACAGCAACGTTTCACAGGTCGAGC